GTTAGGACTGTCACGTCGACGAATTTCAAACTGTCCCCCAGTATGAGCTGAACCCTCCAAAGCACTTTGCCCAACTGAATTATTGGTAGGAATAGCATCACCCTGAAAGATGGCAAATTTTATCCAAAAAAGTTAATACAATCACGGTCCAGAATTTAAGCATTAAAACTTCAATAGAATATATACCTTTCCGAACGAAACATCTTCTTTACTCCATGACCGCAACAGGTCTGTTTGCTCCTTTTGAGCTTCCATTCTTGCTAAGGTCATTCCTGAACGATCCCTTAACGAAAGACGTCGAATAGCACCACGTGCAGAAAAAGGATTGTCTGCATTAGCTGTAGGCTGCTGCGGTGATTCGAACTTTTTTCTCCTTAAAAATTGGAGTAAATTTTCTTTGACTTTTATCATCATCGTCTATCAACATTATGAAATTTTCAGTGACAGGTAAATCCATAGAATATAAAAATGTTCCAGAAATGCAGAACAAGTCGTAATAAACAATTCAACATGTTTTTGTCGTTTAAAACTCGGATTATTCTTTACAGATCAAATATCAATTTGATCTGTAGAGAAATCTGATAATATAACTGGCCAACTAAGTCAAGAAGTCTAACCTCGCTAGTTTTGTTACTCATTTGCAAAGTGATGCAATGAGTACATTTCCTTGCATTTTCTTCCCCGTTATGAAATCTTATAAATATAATTCGTCATTATGATCACACTGAGGCCATAATGCTCAAATATTTCAAGTCCTTATGACTTATTATATAAAAAAGAAAAAAAGATTAAGAATCACTTTCTGGATTGCCTTCTGCTGTCCCGTACTCCAAATGCCAAACGCTTTTTTCTTGCTTCTTGTTGTTGAACTGTAACAATTATCGCTCTTGTCGTAGTATCCTCACAAAGATCTGTAAATCAGATTCGAATTAAACTAAGACGAATACTAGTCCAAACAATAAGCATTTTTGTGACATATCGTAAACTCTATTTCTTTTATACTTTACAATCGATACTCTGACAATTATATGTCGATATTTCAAAAACTTGTAGTCGTTTTGTTAACAAAAACAAGACATCGGGCATTGTGGTTATAAGAGCAAGAAAGGTATAAATATCGGAATATATGGTACATATGTCATATTTAAGAATCCACAAAGTTAAGAACAAAGGAAAATTTGCCTAACGCTGTTTCGCCGTTATTTGTTTTTGCATTGATATCACCACCATATTCGCAAAGAAGCTCAATAAGGTCAGGTTGAGCCCAACAGGCTGCCGCATGAACGGGCATCCAGAGGTCATTATCCCGTACCGATGGCGATACACCACACCTTAGCAAAAATGCTGCGACATCGTAGTAACCATTAGCTGCTGCTATGTGTAACTGAAGAAAACTATAATGCGACACCAAGATCGGATGGAATATCCGGCCTCTAAACTATGAACTAACAATCTCTCTACACCAGATAATGTTACCTTTTGTAGCAACAGTTTGCTGATTCACAAGGGAAATCCTAAAGCTTTCACCTATTAATAGAAAATTCTGTGTAAACCATAATTTGCTCACATATGTGCTTCCATCTGGTTGCCTCACATCTAACGGATGTCCCTCTTGCCTCAGTAATTTCATTTCATCCAACATTTGCTTTTCGGCTGCACCACGTTGATCGTCTTAAAAGAATGCAAAAATCATTCAAATCAAAACCAGACAACCATTGTATCGCAAGAAATAAGACGTAATTTGCAAAGCTAACAGCTCAAAAATACAGAAATGACACGGTACTACAGTGCATATGAGTGTTAACAACATATTTATTAAACAGCTTACTAGAAGAATAAATTTATTGAAAAATTTCAAAATCTCACCAATATATGCTTGCGTGATGCCACGAGATGCCATCTCAGATTCAATAACATCTAATGTGGCTTCATCATCACATATATCATATGGCATATTACCATCTGCATTCACAGCTAATAAATCAGCACCACTGAATAAAAAGAAATACGAAGTTAAACAAAGTGAATAACATTATTGTCTTTATTGATAGTATATGAAGAACATCTTAAATTATAAATATTAATATTTCGGATCATTTATTACCACTTTATAAAAATAAAACCTCCAGTATTTACTTCGTATGCTAAAGGCAACACTGTAAGTCTGAATGTCGTAGGCTAGACTAAATTATTGGCTGTAAGTAAGTCACTAGAGATTAATCGCTATTCTACCAAATGGCGATTAATGAGATTTTCTAACGCTTATTTCATGGAACAATCTTTACACTAAAATTGTTTATGAATTAGCTTAAGTTAAACACAAAGTTCAAACTTAAGAGAAATAGCTAATTAATGGGTATCCAGAAACATCCTACAGAAAACTACATATCATAATATCAGAAAAAACTTGCATATATGATATGTTTTTTTATTGAAAATATTTCATGCACAAGGATTCCCATTTAGCTATTCCAGCTAAATCTCAACGGCATCAACTGGAAAGGAATTGAACCTATCAATCTTATGTTTGCTAAGAAATAAGAGTTTAAGCTTTCAGTTGAACGCCAAGGCAGAAAAGGAAGCTTATATGGATAATACTCGAACAAAACATTACTAACTTATCGATAAGAAGACGAACAATATCGATATAAGCACAACAAGCTGCTGCGTGCAATGGTGTCCACTGCTCCGTATCCTGCGCATTTACGTCGGCCCCATGCCTTAGAAGTAATTGCAAAATTTGTTCATTATTGTCGATAGCACACTGAAAAACTTCGAGACTACTCGAAAATTATCTTTTTAAGTTCTCTAAAACATATCATCTTCTGCTGTACCAAATATCTCAAAACACCACATTATTCTCTGCCAGTTTTCGTAAATTTATTTTTTTTAAAGAACAATATGCAATAAAAGTAAGTGTAACAAACATAGTAATTTTAATATTCAATAACAACAGAATCGAGATATACGTCATATACGGCAAATTAATTTAAATTAATAAAAGTTCGTTTATTGATTTACATTAATGTGAATTAATAAAAAAATGTAAATTAATTAATAATAAAAATGTAAATGTAAATTAATAAACAAATGTTGATGCAATTAATAAAAAAAATTAATAAAAATTTTATATGTTTTGTTCATATCATAAAATTTCTAGCCGATCCTTCGAATGATTATTATCAGAACATTGATCCGAAAATCGAAAAACTCCGAGTGCGCAGTCTCTCTAGTACAGAAGATTAAGTATTGGGGCTCGAAAGCAAAAGTTATCTGATGATTCTTAGATCTCCAGAGAAGAATCAGATGTATTAAGCTTTGATGGTCAAGATTACAGGAATTTCCAATAAATGCAATGCATCTTCATACGATGAAAAAATTGTAAGCCAAAATGGTCGTGTCAACTTTCTTAATGGAATTCACATATACAACTTAATTTAATTTATTGAAGTTAAAGCAAATTAACGATGATTAATAGTTTTGCATTCAATTGACTATATCGAAATTGAGTATGTAATATACTAATAATTAAGAAACACGGCTAGAACTACGATAGGTTACAAAATGTATATATTTTGTATATATTAACTATATCAAAGCTGAGTATATAATGATTTCTAACATAATATGTTAAAGTATTCAAGCCATGGATGCCACACAAGGTTTTAATTTTTAAATTAAAACTAGAAATCATTAAAAAAAGAAACGAAATAATGAAACTAACCTGATGTAACGGAGTTAATCCATCTTCATTATGTGAATTTGGATTTGCGCCCTCCAAAAGTAATCGTTCAACTAAAAAAACAGCGATCAAATGGTTTGAAAATTTACGAAATGCTTTTAGAATAGTTAAAATAGACATAATTAATGAGTGAAAATGAAATTTTACAAAGATTCTCGAAACTGAAGCAACCTCGACCAAAATTCACTTTTATCCTTTAATATCACTGTTTTTGACTCCTTTTCAATATCTTACCAATTCTTTTTGACTAATTTATTTAAATACTTTAATATTACTTTTCAGTCTTTTGCAAAAGAAGATATTGCTATCAAGTTAAAAATAAAGTATTACACAGAGTAAATCATATTTCCATATATATTGGTGTTTAAAATGTTAAAATGCGGTTTTCAGAAAAGAAAGTGTCAACGTGCTAGAACAAAGTATGATACCAAAAAAAGTTAACAACTGACAATTAAGTACCGCTTATTATTTTATGGTCATATTTCAAGTTTGCGATAATATGTAAATGTCAAACAAGTGTGGTATCAAAAAATGCATTAAAATTTCAACGGATAAGCAAATTTTGAAATTAAAAAACAGAGCATCAGTAGCTTACCTTCCGCAGCATCTCCTCGACTTGTTGCTTCCAATAAAGCTACTTCTGGACTGAATTTCAAACGCTGGCGACGCGGAGGTGTTGGTGTCATCTGTTTTTCACGTTCATCCCAGTTTCTCAATTGTATCCTCCTTCTTTCACTAAAAAAGATAAAGCAAAAAATTATAATTTAAAAGTTGATCTGAATCACCTCAGCATCAATTAAGTAATCTAATCTATAAGCATCTGATATTCCCCTACTTTCCAGCAAAAAAAAAAATCTTTGAAAGATCCGGATATAGATGTGAGAAAGGGATCAACATAAAAGATTCCAATTGTTTTCAAACAAACTGACCGTGCTAAAGCAATTCGTTCAGCTGGTGTCATCTTTTCAATTTCGCTTAGCTCTGCTACCAAATCTGCGTGATCCATCTTCTCCCGTTCTTACCTATTGCCTGCAAATTCTCAAACATTTAAAACCTAAAAATTACTGAAATTTATACGAGCTGTTATATGTATAGGAGAAAAACAGCATACAATCTGGTGCTAATACATATTTTCACAATAATGAAAGAGAATATGAATCCGGCGAAAGCAAGTGAATGAATTTAAACTGCAATAAAAACTAATACCATCAAATTAAAAGATTAACTAATCATTAAATACAATTCCTTGTTACTATACTGCCATTTGACTTTATAATTCCAAGTAAATAAACTGAAATAAAAAACATTAGGGAGGAATGAATCTTTAATCTTTTCTACTCTCTCTTTTTTCCCTCTAACACCATGACACTCAATTTTAATTTAAATGTCATCCTGTTCATTGCTGATAACATGATATGGAAATTTCTTTCTTTTTAAAAATACCTCTATTAATGTATAACGTCATACATGTATGTTATTAGAAATAGTCAATAAATTAATTCCCTTTCTTTTATTTTTCAAGAGAAATGCTTAAACATAAAAATGATGGTGATAATATGCAAAATACCTGAAAACGAAGGAAAATGTTTTCGTTACTGCACGCTTTCTTATATTTCAGTGATGACGTTGATTCGTTTAACTACAACAGCGTCGAGAAGAATAGCAGCAGCAGAGTATCTCACACCGTCAGTGAATGGAAATAATATATATAAATAAACAGATAAGAAAATGAGATGAAGGCAACAATAATAGTCCACCGATATATCCAAGAAATAAGGACTTATGATTGCAGAAAAAACTTGTTAATGCGATGCATAGAATGACACTGCCGCAGGAGGGCGATAGCAGGTCGGAAGAATTTCATCTTTCAGCTTAAATGAATATAAGACAATAAGATTACTTCAGAATTAACTTCTCACAGTCGTAAATTTTAGATTTTTACCTCATTTGCAAGATTTGCTGGCATTTACTTGCTGCTGAAAGGCGACAAATTTGATATCTGAAATTCAATTGCTTTTCCTCCAATCTCTTTAATGGAATTAACTGCGGTATTGAATAGCAACATTATTAAGCAACAATGAATGTGATTAGAAATTCAAAAATTAGCTATATCATATAACAACATCTTATTAATATTCAAAAATTGGAAAAAACCAAATAATTTGCTTCTTTTATTGTTAGAAATCAGTACCGAAAAAAATCAATAATTCGTATCTTTCGTAGTTGAACACAGTGGGAATGCAGCACTATTCAAACAGATAGTCAATGATTTATAATATTCTTAGTGTTAAATAAATTTAAAAAAAAAAACAATTCGTATCTTTCATCATGGAGAATGTGTCATAATTCATTAAAACAAAAGATAATTTGTGTTTCTCACTAAAAAGATACCTTAGAAGAACAGTTCAGTTACAAATAAAAGAACAAATTATTGATATTATGCTATGCCTAACATCAATCGTCTTGGAATGGTAGCAGCAGTAAAAAACTAGCGTGAAAAATTTTTCTCCGCTTTCAAACAGAGTAGCACTAAACGCCACTAAATGATGTGACATCGACGCGAATGTACGACAGTTTCCACAAAAAATAAAATGAATTTTCAAAAATAGTAGATATCAAACGAACAGCTCGAATAATGTATAATTGTACAAAAATTTTATTTCACATAATATTGTTTTCAAAAACTGTTGAATCCCAATATTTCGAATATGCAAGCTTCAACATCAGCAGACCAAACATTTCACGTATTTCATTAATCGGTTTCAAGCCTCATTTAGTGATATCATAATAAGAAAAGTCGGATACCACTGTAGAAAGACTTAAAAAAAAATTTTACAAGAGCAACATCTAAAAAATTGGCATTGCCATTACGCAACCACAGAACATCTTAGTCTAACGTCATGGAAAAGTGATGAAAATATAAAAATTCAAAATCTAATTGTAAAAAACATCTACTAGGAAATTATTACAGAAATAATATATTCATTATTTCCTTCCCAAGAGCACTATATTTTTATTCCGAAAATTTCTGTAACACTTTAATTAAATAGTGAGTTATAACCAAGTATCACAATTTCAAAAATATAAGAGATGACCAAATATTACCATAGCAGTGTTTACATATCAATTAAAATGATCATATAATCAAAGATCATCGAACTCATGAAAATCAAAGATGGAAAGACTTGTGGCGAAAAAAAAGCGATAATTTATTTTAACAGCTACAGGAGTATTCGATAAAATACTAGAGAGTGGAAAAAATCTGGGGACAATCGGGACAGATAAAAACGGCAGCATATTAGGAGAGGGGGGAGGAGAAATACCGCTGGGAACCATATAGGGAGAGAGAAAGACGGAGAGAAAAAAAATCAGAACCGTCAGATCCTTGGATTCTAAGTCAGAACCTGAGTAAATTTTCAAAACTGCTCCGCAACATTTCTGACAGTGTAAATCATGAGTACAAAAGGCCAGTAAAGCACTTTTCCATTTTCCATTTGTTTTATTTTTAATTCTTTTCTCCACTTTTTTTTCTTTTTCTTTCATCGTCCCAAGCTGTGGAACTAAGTTAATCTCATATCATATGAAGTAAAGAACATCCTCAGTACTTTCCAAAAAACAATTGCATTAATACTTTCAGATCATAATACCTTTCTGAAAAATAACGATGGTACTAAAATATATGGAATTCCCTTTCAAATATGCAAAGAAAATTGATAATAAGGAAATGCTATGATCAGAAGAGTTTTACATATCAACCCTAAATGCTATAAGAAAGACTTTTTAAATATCGACGTTATCTAATTTAGCAGAAAAAAATTTCACTTATATTCTGGATAATATTCTTCTTTGCGAGGTTGAGCCAAGAAACAGTGAAGACTCACACAGTCCTCCTCATAGCCAACTTTTCTCACAATAACTACCAAAAGCTAAGTGTTTCCAAGTCTGATTGCTCAAATACATGCGCAATCTAATTTAAATTAACTAGAATATTATAATGCTAGTTACGGTACAGCCAAAAAAAGACTTCTCAGCCTTATTTAAATGGTGAACTTAGAGAGAAGTGAGCTCAATTAATAAATCATGCAAGATTTTTCAATTTTTTCATCAACTAAATTTCCCAGCATTTTTTCTTTTTTTATTTTCTTTTAATAAAGTGAATACTCACAAAATAGTATTTACTTTAGTAAAAGAAAATAAAAAAAGAAAAAATACTGGGAAATTTAGTTGACGAAAAAATTGAAAAAAAAAGAAAGAAAAGAAAAACTAAACAAGCTGAATGGGGCACTGCGACCACTTCAACCAGCAAATTGCTTCATTTTTCTGTTTTTTGTCTTTATTCTCTTTTATTCCCAAATGACTTCAAAATGAAACTAAAGAGCACAAGAGAATGTAAAACCAAGGTTCGACCAAATTATTGGTAAAGTTTAACGCAACTGCAATAAGGTCGCG